ATTTACTTCAAGATACTAAAGTAGTATCCAGAAGTGAAATAAATGTTGCATAATCTATTTTGTAGAGGAATGTACCATGTAAATAGTGAAAGGTGATTTACATTTGCAGCTAACTGGTTCTGGGGGTAATATGGGCAATTTGCTGCCCTCAAAAGCTATTTACCATTAAGTGCATGTTGATTTTGGGCGCTTAGGTAGCTCAGTCAGTTAAGCATCTGACTCTTGGTTTTGGCTCAGGTCATGATCTCAGGGCTGTGAGACTGAGCCCTGGTCAAGCCCTGCATTGGGCTCCGCACTGGGCCTGGAGCCTGCTTACGATTCTCTCTCCCTCCCCCTCTGCCCCTCCCCCCCATCCCGTGTGCACACTTTTTCTCTCTGGAAAAAAAAAACAAAAAAAAAAACTCATGTTGATTTTGCTTTATCTGTGTTTGTGTATCTCAGGATTCAGAGACTTCCCTTAGCAATTCCACTGCATCTATTACAACATAGATGTATTAATGGTGTCTATATGAGGCACTGAGAAATACTTTAGCAGTTCAGGTAGAAGAGTTTGGGTATTCTATTTTACTGGTCTGCCTGAGTGAATGCACACGCTGCAAATAGAAAGGAGAAAATGGGGAATTATTCACAACTTGTTATTCTGTATCCTATAAGGTCATTTCAAATTAAGAGGGTATATTCTCATTTTAACAATTTTTTCTCTCAAAGCTATGAAGAAGGGGATTTTGAAAAAGCTGCTGAACTATACAAAAGGGCGATGGAAATAAAAGAAGCAGAAACGTCACTTTTGGGTGGAAAAGCTCCTTCCCGACACTCCTCAAGTGGAGACACATTTAGCTTAAAAACAACCCATTCTCCCAATGTTTTCCTTCAAGGACAGAGGTAATAGCAATTACAATTCATTGCAAATGCACCTTAGGATAAAATAATCAAGAAATATTTGGAACCTAAGAATTTAAAACAAAAAAATGTTGAGTTTATTTTTATTTTGTGTGATTTAACTGGTATGTGCATAAAATTGCATAGGACTACGTTAAAGTTTGAGTCATGATTGTGTCAGTGTTAGCTGCTTAAAAGAATTAACTTTCTTAATGTATGGGATCCATGGATGTGGACACATTAGAACCCAAAAATGACATGAAGAATTGATCATGAAGAGTGCTTGTTCTCTGTTCAAGAAGACCTGGCATAGCTGTGAAGACAAGGAGTTCAATTCCATAATTCTTTCATCTCTCAAGAGCTACACTGGCCTCACCATTCCTGGTCGTGCTTTTCAGCAGTAGCCTGGCCCAAATCTCTACCTCAAAGAAAAGTTTCAAGAAATAAAGGGAAATGTTCATGGAAGGTTTGAATTATTTTCTGTAAAATGAACTAGTAACAGTTGTCTCTGACTGCTACATTTTTTAAAAAGTCTACCTTTTCCATGAGCAGACTGGGCCAAGCCCTCTGCTTTCTGCTCTCTCTATATTGTTCTGCTGTGTTATATGTATCTGCATAATCTGAAGTTTTTAATGCAGTAAGTCGAGCTCTTAGCATTCTTTGACCTTCCCCAAAATAGGGACATGACAGTCTCCTCTTCTTTCTTAAATGGCCTAAATCTCTCTTCATTTATCTCAAACTCAGATTAGTCTATTCTATATTGAAAATGAAATATGTTTTACAGGTTTTATAAAAGTTGTCACATTTTGGTTTTGTGCCATTTATGTATTTATACATAATAAAACCTTCAATTTTAATACCTTTAAGATTCCAACATATTAATTATAAAGGTGAAAGATATAACCATACTTCACTGTTTTAAAAAAAAAAAGTGCAATTTCAAGGTTTTTTTTCCCACTTCAATTTATACAAGAGAGTGGTAGTTACATAATTAATTCTTTGAACATTACAAAAAATACTTGAAAAATATCCATACTGAATAGTTTGCTCAAATTAAGTTTTGGCGGGGTGCCTGGGTGGCTCAGTCGTTAAGTGTCTGCCTTCGGCTCAGGTCATGATCCCAGGGTCCTGGGATCGAGCCCCGCATCAGGCTCCCTGTTCCACGGGAGGCCTGCTTCTCCCTCTCCCACTCCCCCTGCTTGTGTTCCCTCTCTCGCTCTCTGTCAAATAAATAAATAAAATCTTCAAAAAAAAAAAAAGTTTTGGCAACTTTATTGGGTTTTGGTTAATGTTCTGTAAGGCTTGGCTACACACAGGGTGGTCCATGAACTGGGATCATCAGTATGAAAAATTAGCTTATGAAAAATTAAGACTCTAGAGCCTCTCCTCAGACCTACTAAATCAGAATCTGCAATTTGACTAGATCTCCAGGTGGTTCATATGCACCTAAGTTTGAGAAGCAATGGTCTAATTTTAAGGCACTATAGTGGTCACTTAGAAGAATTTGGCAGGATCTTATAAAATGAGCATCCTTCTTCCCCTTTTGAGAGAAGTTCAAAAGGAAAGAAGATAAAATATGACCATAGTACATCTTTCTGGGTTTGCCAGCTATGAAAGGTACAAAGTAATTACATTCACAAATTACCATACACTGCTTTCAGAATTAAGCTACTAAAGTTTAAAATTTGATTATCTGGTAATATAGTAATTTAATACACTATTATAAGTAGTATATTAAGTTTAATGCCTTTAAAAAACTGCTTTAGGAAATAATCTGAGATTAATATTCTAGAAGAACCCTGAAAAAAGGAAAAAACAGCAAAAGAATAATAGGCCTTTATTCTTTGTTCCCACAAAATTTGGACTTGAAAAATATAAGTGGAAATATAATAGTATTCAAAGTGATTTATGGTAAAAATTCATTAATTAGTTAGGGGTTGAGGACTCCATATATTTCATAAAATTTAAGTTTAAATATTCTTTTGAAGCTGCATTTTCATCTTACTTATTGTACTACCAACTCAAATGTTTTCATGTAAAGTGTCTACTTAAAAAGCTAAAAATAGGGGCGCCTGGGTGGCTCAGTTGGTTAAGTGTCTGCCTTCAGCTCAGGTCATGATCCTGGAGTCCTGGGATCAAGCCCAGCATTGGGCTCCCTGCTCAGCAGGGAGTCCGCTTCTCCCTCTTCCCCTCACCCCCGCTCGTGTTCTCTAATAAATAAAATCTTTAAAAAAAAAAAAAAAAGCTGGGACAGACATCTCTTTGTATTTGAGGTTCTCAAATAGAAATATGTTCACATTGATACACACCTTCACGATGAAAAAGGTAGCTTTCAGACAATTACATCTGAATTGGTAGGAACCAGATAATGGTAGTTGTAGTTAATTTTCATTAATACTTTGCAGAAAGAGAAATATGGAAAAAAACTGCAATTGGAGGGTTAAATCTTCCTTAATATTCTTAAATGGTTATTACCATTTTGTGTTGATTCAGTGTGTTTGTTGGTTTTCAAGGAGTATTTTTATGTGAGAAAACCTAGGATGCATATTCTTTTCACTACATAAAACATTTCAGTGGTACATAAATTAACTTCCCATTCACAATGGGGAAGGGGTTAAAGCTGAACATATTGTTTTACTGCAATTTAGAGCCTTTGTGCTATGGCAATTTGGTGAGTGTGTTTCCTTCTTTCACATTAGAAACAACAGTGTTTAAAAATATGGTCAAGCACTACAGATTTATTTAGTACTATAAAACTCGGTGATGATTAATTTCTCAAAATTGGCTACTGTATATATGTAAGTTTTTATGGCATACAGACGTTAAGAGAGCACTCCAGGTAGCAAAAGATACCTGTTACCAGATTTTTTTCTGGTAAAGTCATCCAACTATTTTTTAATGGAAGACATTAGACAAATTAGATAACTTAGTAATAGTTGATAACAGTATAAGACACCAGCGGTGTACAGTGCCATGTTAAGAGCAGAACAAAGGTGAGTTCTGGCTATTATACCTCATCAAACTATACAATTTTTAAATTATAAGCAAAGTGTAGTCGTGTGTTCAAGCCCCGTGCTGGGTTCCACGCTGGATGTGGAGCTTACTTAAAAAAAAAAAAAAAAAATTATAAGCCAAGCCTTACCAAATCAGTATACCAGATATTCCAAAAGAATGGGGTTATTATAAGAAAAACTACATTTCTTTTTTGAAGTTCAAAACCTCTCGAGTAACTAGAAAAAACTACTTTACAGATGAATTCACTATTTCTTTTTTAATGGCAAATGATCTACCAGGGCAACATAAATAAGTTTCAAGGCTACCATCCCCCTACTTTCCTGACCTTACTCTAAACAGAAGAATCACTATATGATTCTAGGATCTCAAAGCAAATATACTGAACATATTTGATATTTGGGACTTTCTGAAATCAGTTTTTAGAACTTTATTTTACAAATGGAAATTGCATTTTTCATTTTGTACTAACATTTCTTCTCTAGAGATACAATTTATTCATTCATACCTTCAAAGTAAAAAAAATCACCAAAACAGAAGATTAGCATAGCATAGTTAACATTCTACTGATAATGGTTACACGTGCATATTTTTTATTGGTCTCCAAACCACTGGGAATTTAAGGCTCTCTTAAGCTTTCATTATTTGTATGCAACTTTAGAGAAAACCAGTTTATCAGTTTATAATTTAGTGGTCATGATCAGGGTAAATGATACTCTTCTAGTGAATAAATATATGTCAGTCATTACAGACGTAATTTAGGTCTCTTTTATGCCAATACAGGACAACTATCTAATTATCTAGAAAATCAAATTTAAATGAAGTACTCAGAAGGTAGCCCATTTGATGGGTATAATCTAGATGATCTTAAACTAAATTTATTCCTTACTCCTCAATAAAGTGCAGTGACTCCAGATATATGTTCTACACATGCAAGGACTTCTTTCCTTGGTCAGGGCAGAAATATAATAATCTGTACTTCCTCAAAGTACCTTTATTTGTTTATCCATGAAGAAAGCTTACTTTATTTGCATTTGTCTTGTTTTGAATTCACAGGTTTACAAACTTTTCCGATGACTACATTTTAGCTTGTATTTAGTCAGGAAACATTTGAGAGGATATTTTTTATTTTATAGATATTTTAAATTCACTGTTGGCCAAGTTAATAATAGTGGACAGTTTTCTTGTAGAGAGAGATTTTAAATACAATGAGTAGATACCTGCTAGCTCTAATCAATTGGATGTACCTCCTGTCCTTTCCCTGTATTTGAGAACCACATACTACTTTATTATCCATGACCTTGGGCAACAGACCACAAAGGATTACTGGAAGGAAAACAAATATAGCATCATATTGGTCCTTTCTTCCCACCCCTCCCAAAAGGCCAAAGCATTTCAGTGGCTAAGTTTTCAAGTTTTCTTAACTAGAATGAAACATGAGTTTTAGGAATTACTGATTTAGTTGAAGGGAAAAAAGCTCCAAACAACACTATATTCAAGAAGTATAACAATTCTGTGAAGATTATGTATCAATTAATGTTGCCCTAAATTCTGTCAGTTTTTAAATGATTTTTTTAATTGCAAGGGAATAGGCTTAACCTCAGGAAATAAAATATAGGTCAGTCCATTATCTACATATTCTTCATCTTGGCCATAAGGTCTTCCAAGCTTTCACCAGAATCTTCCACAGTTACCTCAGCTACAGAATCTTCTTGCTATCAACAAATGAGGGAAACATAGTGAAAAAATAACCATATAAAATTTGTGATGCTTAGGAATATATAATCACTAAGTTTTAACCATGTTCAACTAGTTTACAAAGTAAACTTTAAGAAATATGCCTTCTAATTTTTAGGACAGACAAAATCCTTTACTTTCCCCACCAATCTTTTGATTTACAAGACAGTAATTTCAATATTCTTGAGATCTCTACTGCAGTGGTATTTTTAAATGGTATTAACGGCTAAAATGCTCAATATACAAAAATGTTATTTTCATTTAATCAAAATCTACTTTACCTGATCCATTCATGAGTCAATAACACTATTTTAGGTCTGTGTTTCAAAGAGTTTAAAAGGCACTATGTCTATTTCCACATTAACACTGAACACCTTCTCTTACACGTCTTAATGCCATTATATATAATGTAAAATATCTAAAACAGTAAATACTGCATTGGCATTATAAAATAGGATGAAGATGAAAGAAGATAAATAAACTTTCTCTTCTATAACATTCACTTACGGTAAATCAGATTTTGGACGTACCTTTTTAGGAATTGTGTATGCCACTGTAATTCCTTCGGGTAAGTCAGGAACCGGACCTGAGGAATTTTTCAGTTCCTCTTCTGAAACCTCGGATACCAACTCAATACCTGTAGAGTTAAATTTGATCTTACAACAGTTTTCAAGGAACTTAATAAGCAATAATTACTCAGAATTTGTATAATTATATTCCCTCCCATAAGAGATCTGACACTGCCATTTCAATTTATGAAAGAATTCCTACCCCATTCATTGTCTTCATGTATTATCTCTTCCTCTTCTTGAGCAGCCTCCTCTTTGGGCAGTGCGGCTACCTTTTTCTGTAGAAATCAAACAGTATCAAAGTGTTCTTACTCTCAGGCCTCTGAAGCATTGAGCAAGAATTCAGGCAGGCTTTTTACTTTACCAAAAGCAAGAAAGGACTTCAGAGAGATTTTTTTACTTTTGAAGCATGGTGAATTTTCTACTAACATTTCCACCTTAGAGATACCATAAAAAAAACTTTCAAAAATCCAGAATCCATTTATCTTGTATTCCAAATCTAAATAACTGTTTTAAATTATTGTCCAAATAATATGACCTCTCATACATTCTGATGGATTGATGTATACCTTATATTCTTCCTGCTGCTTCCTGCAATTTCTGTCATCACACTGAGGATTTGGCTTCATGGACATAGTAGGAAAAAAATCCTGCATTGCATTATATCCAAGGTAAAAACTAACAGTACCAAAATTTAACAGAAACCTAGAAAAACAAATCAAAGTACACTTAAATAAATAAGCCATAAAAGTATTAGAAATAATTGAATTTTTAAAAAATGGTATTGAAGTACATAATGATTTTTGTAACAAAACAGCACCTTAAGTACTGATGTCAAATTAAAATGTGAAGAATCCCTGAGATATGGTACTAAATCTAACTACTTTAAAAGTTTTTATACACAACTTACTTTAAAGTTTACAATCTTAAATACATAGCTCAGTGAAATTTTCCAAAAGTCTTCACCCATGTAATCACTACCAGATCAAAAACAGAACATTTCCATGGGCCATAAAGCTCCCTTGTGCTCCCTACCAGTCAAATCTAATTCCTTTTAGAAGCTTGTAAGAGGGGCGCCTGGGTGGCTCAGTTGGTTAAGCGACTGCCTTCGGCTCAGGTCATGATCCTGGAGTCCCAGGGTCGAGTCCCGCATCGGGCTCCCTGCTCGGCAGGGAGCCTGCTTCTCCCTCTGACCCTCCCCCCTCTCATGTGCTCTCTGTCTCTCTCATTCTCTCTGTCTCAAATAAATAAATAAAATCTTTAAAAAAAAAAAAAGAAGCTTATAAGAGGAAAAAAATCACATATAAAATACAAACAAAAGGAAAATATTTGCAATGAATGTTAATATATAACAAGACAAAAAACTGACCAAATGATATGAAGCAGACAATTCACAGAAAAATATAAGTGCTCACCCCTTTCCATAAACAACTGAAAATTAAAATGAGATACCCATTTTTTTCACCCATGATATTAACAAAGATTAAAAAGTCTGATGATACCCAATGTTATCAACCAGTGTGGGTGAACCAGGTACTCCTACACTGTGATAGAAATGTATATTTTTGGAGTAGAAATTTAGTACTGTCTGTTAAATATTGCATAAACTCAGAAATTCCACTTCTAAAAATTCATAAGAATCATGCAAGATGTTGTCTGCAGCATTGTTAAAAAAGGCAAAAAAAAAAATCTAAGTAGTTTTAATGTCCATCAAAAATGGCTAAATAGGACACATCCTTAAGAGAACAGTTTATAACCATAATTTCCGCCCCTCATCCTTTTTGTAGCATACTATAAAACGTTTTGTTTAGATAGGGCCTGCTAAAGTTTGTACGGTTTGTATGGTTGTGAAGTTTTCTTATATGAACTAGCCCTAGACAGTTGCCTTGAGAGTTCTCATGTATGCTTTTTACAGTTTTTTTGCTGGTAGCTGACGGTTCTGATATCAGGGTGCCTCTCTATATCATGCTGCAACTTGTTCTTATTACATTGGACGGTTAGGAAACATAACAAAGCTTACTAAAGTTGTAAAATGAGAAAAAAAAAAATGGCCTGAGATAGAGAACACCTAAAGGGGTTCTGGTTTTAATAAAGTGTGAGTTGGTTCAAAAACCCTTTGACATTAATTTTGGCTGCAAAGAAATCTTTGTTGCTATAGTTTAGATGGTGTGGTTGCTGCATATCTGTTTTTGGATAGCAGAGATAATTATCCTCATTAATGTTTAATTGCATTCATATTTTTAGTAAGAATTAAAGAAGTGTATTTAATGCCCTTTGGTCAAAACTGCAGAGATTTAAATCATTTGGTTAATACTTCATATATAAATACACCAGTACCACTGTACCATTTAACATGAGCTATTCCAAATACAGAGTAACATATGTGTATTAATATGTATGCTTATATTTAAATTAGATATACTAAGAAGTATGCAAATTAAAAGTACATATATATTATACATATTTTAAAAACTTATTTATATTTAAAACTAGATTTTTAAAAAACTGAATACTTAGCTGGTAATTCCAGTATTTGAAATGCTTTATGAAATACATTTTTATCAAAAACAACCAAGACTACTCAGAAAAATTAGCCCTCACTCACTTTAACACATTTTGTACTAAGATCCCAGCAACCACTCCCATAGTGGTAGGAAGACTGGCTGCACAAACACCTTCTCGTTTCAGAGTCTTTTCATCAATATTTGCAGCAACTACAAGTGGTGGAGCACACTATATGAAAAAGAATGAAAGAAAATATATTCAAAACAAAAGGAAAAGAGTATAACATACTCAAAACAGTATTCCATCTCAAAGTTTGTTTTTTCTTTGAATACATTTTCAATACCCCTAGGAACTCTAGTACTTAATAGTAAAAAAAATAAGCCAAAATGAATCACACATACCGCAAAACAAGCAGATTCTCCAGGAATTATGAGCTGTATATGCCCTGAAACTGCATTTTCACTGACCCCAGACTCCATCCACGTTTGCCCAAGTTCATTACAAGCCTTGGTAAAAAACAGGTGAAAACATAAGAAAGAACATAAAAAGAAGTAATTTAGTGTAAGGAGTTTAACTCCTTTAATTTAGAAGGAGTTTAACTAAATGGATTACCAAGGGTTTTTTAAATTTTTCAAAAGAGGAAAGTTATGAATAGTGGAATTCCTTGGCAAATGCCACTCTATTTAAAAAGTAAACTGACAGGGGCGCCTGGGTGCTCAGTCATTAAGCGTCTGCCTTCGGCTCAGGTCATGATCCCAGGGTCCTGGGATCGAGCCCCACATCGGGTTCCCTGCTCCGTGGGAAGCCTGCTTCTCCCTCTCCCACTCCCCCTGCTTGTGTTCCCTCTCTCGCTGTCTCTGTCAAATAAATAAATAAAATCTTTTTTTTAAAAAGTAAACTGACAGCATTTAAGTAAGAAGTCAATAAATATCTATTTAATTAAATTGAATCATGAGGCTTATTGGATTTCCTATTGAAGTAAAAATTCATTTTTCTAAAATAATTTCAGCAACAAAAAACTGCAAAATATCTTCTGAAAAATTGAAAACATAGCAATTCAAAGATTTTTATTTCTGAGAAACCAGGTTTGTAGGCATTTTATACATATTTATATCTTTACTTAAAGTAATAAAAGTTAAAACCAATGCTGACATAGAGTTAAGACATTTTAAGGTAGTCATTTATTTTAAAAACTGTACAACAGAAGTATCTACTATTTTATAGTTTCCTCTATTGGCATAAGAGAGAATAGGATACTGAAACATAAGCCATACCAGCAAGGCTAGACAGATCCCACAGCTATTAGAATAAATTTCAAAAGTAGGGTAAGAAATAATTAAAAATTAACAAAACACATGAGGTCTTAAATGCAGAACTATTCTTAAATGCAGAACTATACAAGAAAACAGATAAATCCATGAGTGTAACATCTTATACAATAGGAATACTTACTGTATTTATTGTCATCCGAGCTTCAAAATTGTCCACACAGCTAAGAACTAGGTCAACAGGTTTTCCCTCTTCTAATCCACCATTACTAGGTAAAGAAAAAAAATTTATTTGGAAAAAAAAAATCAGGGCACAAAATACACTCTAATTAGACTGTAGTTGTTCAGGCACACATTTATTCTTTCAGTAAATGAGTACAATTATGACATAATATTTAATATTAAAGATCTAGTATGTATTAAGTAGCTAATATGAACATCAATGATACTACATTACTTTGCCTAGAAGGCACAAGAAGTATAAAGTTTATTCACAAAAGTTACCATTTCCCTATCAGCTTTCAGACTTTTATTCATGTTTCACTCCAAATGTAAATCTAATAAAAATTGAATATATTCAATATCTCAGTGGTGTTACAAAAGTCTGCAGAAAACCACTTTTACATAGAAATATAATTTAGAACACAGAACTTATAATTGAGGATCCCTTGTTCTATCATTATAATTACAGGGTTTTAGGTTTTTTGGTTTTTTTATTGTTGTTACTACTGTTTTTTGGACAATATTTACTTTTTACTGAGCTCCTAACACCTAGAGATCACACAAAAATTAACTATTTTAAAAACATATCGAATCTACCAACTCAATGAGTTAAACATCAGTAGATTTTATTATTAATAATACTTGTTTAACTGAGCTGGACACCGTGCAAAATATTCATAAATAAAATTTTACCTTATTCTATCCATGAAATGTTGAAAGTTTTCTACTGTGGTTATATTGTAGTTGTGTACTTCAAAAAGAACATCAGGATTAATGTTCCTAAGAGGGAAAAAGGGAATGATTATTAAACTACTGGTAGGAATACTAAGTGAAAGCAGGAAAAAGCTGATAAAGATCATTCAACAAGGTTAGAAAAATGGAATTCAAGCTATTCAAAGAAAATCCGAAGCCCTCTTCTACTTCCTTTGACCCACTTCAAGGACTACATTCAAAGTCTGTTGACTGCAGGATTACACAAATGCTCCTACCATGTATGTTCTCAGAATTAAGCCTTTATCACCTTTGTGAGCTACAGCCTAGCCTGACAAAAGAGCTTCTTTGTTCCTTATTTAATTCAGTGCAAGTATGTTTGAGGCCACAAAGAAACTTCTTTTTTTTTTTTTTTTTTAAGATTTTATTTATTTATTTGAGAGAGAGAATGAGAGCCCGAGAGGGAAGCAGGTCAGAGGGAGAAGCAGATCCCCCGCTGAGCAGGGAGCCCGATGTGGGACTCGATCCCGGGACTCCAGCATCATGACCTGAGCTGAAGGCAGTCGCTTAACCAACTGAGCCACCCAGGCGCCCCGAGGCCACAAAGAAAGTTCTTAGTAAGGGTTGGCAAAGTATGGCCCTTGGGCCAAATCTGACCTACCACCTGTTTTTTTTTTAAAGGTTTTTTTTTAAGATTTTTTATTTATTTGACAGAGAGGGACAGCGAGAACAGGAACACAAGCAGGGGGAGTGGGAGAGGGAGAAGCAGGCCCCCCGCCGAGCAGGGAGCCTGATGCAGGGCTCGATCCCAGGACCCTGGAATCATGACCTGAGCCGAAGGCAGACGCTTAGCGACTGAGCCACCCAGGTGCCCCACCTACCACCTGTTTTTATGAAGTCTGCAAGCTAAGAACGGTTTTTCCTTTTTTTAAATGGTAGCAGAAAAGAAAAGAACAGTATTTCATTAACACACTAAACTTACATGGAATTTAAGCATCAGAGTCCATAAACAAAGTTTTATTGGAGCACTGCCATGCTCATTCATTTTTCTATTGCCTACAGCTGTTCTCGCACTACCGCTACATAGCTGGGCAGTTTCATAGTTGGCCCTCAAAGCCTAAAATATTTACTATCTAGCCCTATACAGAAAAGGGTTGCCAACCCTGTTCCAAGAGGTAAGACAATTTGTATAAAACCTGCATTTTTATGGAGAAAAATTTATACATTAACTTTTAAGATTTTATTTATTTATTTGAGAGAGAGAGAGAGCATGAGAGGGGAGAGGGTCAGAAGGAGAAACAGACTCCCTGCTGAGCAGGGAGCACCATGCGAGACTCAATCCTGGAACTCCAGGATCATGACTGAGCCAAAGGCAGTGGCTTAACCAACTGAGCCACCCAGGTGCCCCAAATTTATGCATTAACTTATACAAAATGCACAAACTAAGTTTCACTAAATATAGTCTTTAATGGTTATTCCATTTACCTCAAAGTATATTCAGCTGCTTGAACTTTACTTAATCCTGCTTGATGAGGCTGGAAGAAAAGTCTATTCATATTGGCCAGTTCCACCTTGTCATAGTCAAAGAGTAGCAACTAAAATGAAAACAGTGGTATTTTAATGAAAAACATACTAAAATATAAACTAAAAATAACAAAGAAAAATCAGTGGACTTCACATTTGATGGGTTTAACAGTTTGACAGTAATAATATTAGCTTATTCTAAAATACTAGGTACCATATATTAACTCATTTAATGCTCATATAGGTATAAATGAGACAACTACGGCACATACCCCAAAGTCACTCAGCTAATATATATGAAAATGGGATTCAAATTCAGGCATTCTCAACCCAGCATCTGCACCTGAACCATAACACTTACTGCCTCTCTAAATGATTCACTGAGAAATCAATGTTTATTCCATTTCATTCTAATCCTTTACTAAAGGCCAAGAACACATTAGATAGATGAAATTTTAAAATAACAAATGTCACAAATTAAAATTATAGTATAACATGACTCCTTTTGTGACTATGACACCATTCTTAACTCATGGCTAAAATGTGCTCACCCCAAACAGAATTACTAACCAGTAAGTTAATTGTTGTTTCCTTCTATATATTTAGGCATAACAGCATTTCTCACACTCACACACTCATACATACACCTTTTTAAAGATCCCATTTCTTATCAGTAAGAAATTATCAGGTTGCACTGAAATATTTCCAAGGTCCCTTCCTTCATCTAAAATTCTGTAACTTTATAACACAATTCTCAGCATCCCAGATTTAAAAAAAAAAAACAAAAATGGGGGGAAAGGCCAGGGCAGGGTGAGCACAGAGGCAAAGGCTACAGCAGTGGTTGAGGGGGGCTGTGGCTTGTGGTGCACCATTCTGTGCACAGCTAAAATTATAAAAAAAAAAGGGGGGGGGGATCTTATTAACAACAACAAAATTAACCCAAACTACAGAACAACACCTAGGTAACCCTTTATATCTTGCTAGAAAATACATCACCCCTGTCTGCCCTCTATGATAATTTTCTGAGTCAAAACAAAATATAGCTTATTTCAGCTCATTAGACAGTATTTATTAGGTCAGGCCAAGTATTAAATTTGAGTCTTCAGCCTCATAGCTGGTTTATAAGTTAAGGACATCTCAAATTTGGGGTTAGGAGATATGAGTTGTAGCTCTGTCACTAATTAGCTCTGATCATGGATAAGTCACTCTCTTTTTAGGCCTGTATCTTCATCTGTAAAATAATGCAGCGAATCTAGATCTGGTGATCCAGGACACCGCAAAAGGGGTAAAAAGTAGGCTGAGTCTCCAATGCTCCACTTCCCTATTTAACCATGAATTAGCTTCTTCTTTATCTGTTTTACATAATGAAAAGTTTTGAAACTTAACCTATGCAGATCCTTAACTTACAAACTTGAATGCACACTGGAATCACTACGAGAGTTTTAAAAAATACTGATGTCTGGGTCCCATCCCCAAAGATTGATTCTATTCCACTCTGGATATCAAAAATTTTTTAACTTCCCAGGTGATTCTAATTACAGCAATATTTGATAACCACCGTTCCAGAGCCCTGCTACTCAAACTGAGGCCTGGGCTAGCAGCATCAGTATCACCAGGAGCTTGTCAGAAATACAGGGGCACTGCCCCAACTTTAATATGCATATGAATCATCTGGAGTTTTGTTAAACAGATTCTTAATTCAGTATGCCTGGGGGGTGGGGCCTGGGAGTATTCATTTCTAACAAGCTCCCAGGTAATGCTGATGCTACTACTTAGGGCATCTGACTGAGTAGCAAGGATCCAGCAGTTCTTAAAAAAATCCCCCCAGAACATCAGAATCACCTGGGGATTTAAGACAAATTCAAATCCTTAGGTCCACTCGAAACCTAAAGAATCAAAACCACCGGGATAGGGCCTGGCCATCTATGTCTCAAGAAGCCTTCCAAGTGATTCTGAAGCACACTCAAACCATGGAGACCCATAATCTCCATGATCTCTACTATCCTAGGTCAATCAGCCATGGTTCTTATGTCAACTATAAGCAATTGTTGGCTGGCTTTTGTAAACTTCCTGAAAGACTTTAACATGTTAATAAACATTTTTAGTATTTCTGTGTTGCCTTTTCTATACTGATAAATGAGTGCCAACTTTGAAACCACTTTCTTTTAAGAATTTGGGGGATGGGGGCGCCTAGGTGGCTCAGTCGATTAAGTGTCCGACTCTTGATTTCAGCTCAGGTCATGATCTCAGGTTCCTGAGATCAAGCCCCACACTGGGCTCGGTGCTCAGTGCAGAGTCTGCTTGTCTGCCTCCCCGCCCACCCACCCCCTAGCTTGCTTGTGCACGGGCATGCACTCTCTCTCTCAAATAAATAAAATCTTAAAAAAAAAAAAGAATTCGGGGGCATGGGACAGACCAACATATTAAAAAGAGCTGATAAACTTTGTGGGGAAAAATGCTTGCTTTGTCAAATGACAAATAAAAGAGGGGGAAATCAATTGTGGAAAGCTTTGGTATTCCACCACTAGGAATCTAACATCACAGACTTTAGCTTTACAAATCTGAGACTGGTATAAAGTTCTCTCTCCTTTCTACCCACAACCTAAATCAGTTTTAGAAAAAAAGTGAAAAAAAAAAGTACAGATTAAAAAAAAAATCTTAGAGCATTCTCCATTTCAATTTTAAGAGTAAGAAGGGTATTTTCTAACTAGAAGTTTGTATCTCTTAATCCTCTTCACCTATCTCACCCATTTTCCCACCCACCTCTCCTCTGGCAACCACCAGTTTGTTTTCTGTACTTAGCAGTCTGTCTTTCGTTTGTTCATTTGTTTTGTTTTTTAGATCCCACATATAACTGAAATCATGTAGTATTTGTCTTTCTTTTATTTCACTTAGCATAATACCCTCTGGACCATCCATGTTGTCGTAAATGGCAAGATTTTATTTTTTTCTAAGGCTGAGCACAACATAAGGAATATAGTAAACAATATTGCAATAATGTTGTATGGTGACAAGTGGTGATTGTACTTATGAGCACTGAGTAATGTATAGAACTGTTGAATCACTCACTGTGTTGCAAACCCAAAACTAATACTATATGTCAACTACAATAAATTTTTTTAAATATTTCTAAATAATAAAGGGCAACTATTTTTTGAAAAAAAAGGTACATGCTTTCTAGTCCATTTGTATAAAGCATGTTTAAAAAATATTTGTTAGATGCCTGTGTTTCACACACTATCAATTTAACAGCCTTCTCTCCTAAGCTTCTATATCTAAAACATTTAAGCCCAAATTGTAACATATATTATCCCAAACACAAAATTCCTGAACAAAATTTAGATATTCCTTGTTTTATTAGCATTAATATCAGCTTCCATTTGGGTGGGGTTGTGTCTTAACTCCTGTGGGTAGAAAGAACAATATGAATAAAGACACCACAAATCAATAAACCATTAATAATGAGAAAAATTCCTAATTTATACCTGATTTACTCCAGAAGTGAGTAGTTTCCCATTATGACAGGCAAAGAGAAATGTTTTTACCTTACCAATGCCACATCTTGTCAGCATTTCGGCAGTCACACTACCAACTCCACCAACACCTACTATTGCTACAGCAAAGGTTCGAATTTTCTGTGAAACGCAAAATTATATATTTGTTGGTTAACTTTTCATCAAAAATGTCATCAGAAATTATTTTCATTTACTGAAACCATCTTCAAAAACTTGGAAAGGTTTACCATACCTCATAGTCGCTTACAATTCCCATTCGTTTCAATGCCATCAGGCGGCTTAAAACAAAGAAAAAATGTTTTAAAGCTTACAATCTTTTAATTATGATACAGGTAAACACATCATCACAGAAAAACACGAACTCAATCACTATTAATGCTTTAAAAGAAATCTTTCAGTTGGCTTTTACCAGATGAAATTAAGTCACCTGGGCAGCTTTAAAAACACTGAATACCCTTCCAGGTGTAGCCTGCGCAACAAGATTTTTTTTTTTAAATGCTCCTCAGATATTCTAATGGACAGCCACAACTGAAAACCACTGACTTAAATGTTAAGTGTACAGATGAGATAGGTCAAAGTGAAATTTCAACATATTTCTGTGCTTTCTTAGCATATGTAAATATTTCATATTTAACACCCGGATTTAATGTTTAACATAGTTGTCTCCACCCATAATGGATGGTGTCTACTTTTAGTAAGGACCTACTGCACGCCAAGGACTCTTAAGAGAGCTACTTTACCTAGTTACTGTAAAGTTTTTAATATATACATTTAAGCCTATACACATATACATAAAATTCTCATTCATTTACACTTTAAAGAGTCAAATAGTTCCACCAGGCTTGCTAGGAAATTCTGCAGTCTTCTGGCCCCGACCGTCCTTTTCCTCTCCTCATTTTCAACTGTTACTAACAAATCTCTAAATAGCTCGCCAACGTTGTTACCTCTGGATTTTCAGTTTTAGGTATTATCTGAAGATTTCACTGGTACCATTGGTCCCTGCGATACACAAGTATTTCCCATGGTTGCTCAGCTACTAAGAGCTAGGACCTGAATCCAATCGGTCGGGCTCTAGAGTCCTTACTCTTAGAACCACTGCACTATATTCAGCCAGCTGAAAGGACAGGAGCGGGCAGGACTGGTCCAGTCGAACAGCTTTAAAGCAAGCTAATCCTGCTCTCCCCAAGTCCCCAGTTCTGAAGTACTGAGAAGCCTTTATGAAACTCGAAGTTTGATGCTTAGGGGGTTTTACATTTAATGTCATCCTGAAAGTTATTACTATCAGCTTTGTGCAGAACGAGGGAGACGTGGACGGGGCATGAGGGAAACCGGACGCGTATCCTCAGCAGGCCGGGGAGCGGCACCATATGGCTGATTCATTCGGGTTTTGGTGGGTGTGGGTGTGTATTTTTTTAAGAGGAAGACTACCTTTCCACCACTACTAAGACTTGGCCTTGCGCGTCTGGCAGCGGGACCCCAGCACAAGAAGAGGAAGGCGGGGAGGCCGTGTTGAGCTTGACAGGAAGGGAGCGCCTCACTCCTGACCACTCGCAGACCTTGATCTCACCCCCTAGCCCGCCCCCGACCCGCAACGCAGGTCACCTGTAGGGGTTGGAGTCCACCACCTCCGGGCTCATCTTCTCGATGCGGACCCGGCCGCCTCCTCCGTCGCCGCCCCCCACAGCTCGCCGACTTCTCTCCTGTGCCAGTTCCCGCTCCAGCTGCTCCACCCGCTGCTGCAGCCGCTCCACGGACTCGGCCATGGCTGGGACCCCGGCGGCCAACGCTCCCAGCCCCCGCCGCCGCCGCCGCCGCCGCCGCCGCCGCCGCCCGCTGCTAGGCCTGCAGACCCCGCCAGGGGTAGGTGAGGAGGCACGTAGCCGCCGCCGCCGCCGCCGCCCGCTGCTAGGCCTGCAGACCCCGCCAGGGGTAGGTGAGGAGGCACGTAGCCGCCGCCGCCGCCGCCGCCCGCTGCTAGGCCTGCAGACCCCGCCAGGGGTAGGTGAGGAGGCACGTAGCCGCCGCCGCCGCCGCCGCCCGCTGCTAGGCCTGCAGACCCCGCCAGGGGTAGGTGAGGAGGCACGTAGCCGCCGCCCTCCTAGCCCAGAACCCTGGGGAAGTGCTCCCAGCGCCGCACGGACTACACGTTGCGGCCGCTCCCGCCGGCCTCCCAAGGTACCGCTTCCGGTACGTTGCAGTCATCGCTCCCCCTCAGGAAAAGCAGAACAAAACCAAAACGCCCTTCTTGGCTGCCTTCTTCGCCCCGGTCCTAAGAGACAGGCCGCAGCAGGGCCGGGAGTCCTTAGCGTCCAAAGCCCGCGGCCTGCGATATTGCTTTTCCAGCCCGGCGGCTAGAAGAAACACCAGGATCTTTTATTCCTGGGCTCAAGGTCCTGACGGACCCTTTTCTGAACCGGACCCTGTATAGGTCTGACGGCTGCCGGTGCGTTAAATTTGGGGTGCAAGGGGCCTTTTCGTTCTTAATTGCTCGCAGCGACTAACGTGGCTTTGCCTTAAGATTGCGGCCTCCGACTGTGAGACTGAATGAAAATTTTTTAAATGCGAGAACGCGGAGGTCCTCCGGCATATCCCAGTTAGAGCCTCAGTCACCAGATTCAGGGGCAGCGTGATTGGCTGGAGCGGCTGGGTCCTGTTCGCCCCGACGCGTCAGGGCCTCGCCCCCCGGCTGCGGAGTGGTTGTCTCTGCCGCCAGGGGACTCAGCGCCGAAGACCTGTGGAATCTGCGTCTCCGGCTGGCAGCGGCAGCCGCAGCCATGGAGCCCAGTGCTTCCCCTGAGCCCGACTCGGGCGAAGTGTTGCCCCAGCACAAGTTCGACAGCGGGTCCCTAGAGGCCTATCTAAACCAGCACTTGCCCGGCTTCGGGGCCGAGCCCGAGGCCAAGCTGACCGTTACCCAATACAGGTATCGACGCCGGTCTTCAGCAGAAACAAATCTGTGCATTGGGCTTTTCTTTATTTGGCCCTGGGTGGGGTCGCAATCTCCCCCGTCCCAGCTTCTTTTCCTGCAGTGACGCACTCTGCAGCTGGGAGCTGCCGCCAGTGGTCCCCTGCGTTTCATTCTGGGTATTTCCGGTTCGAGGACAATAATGGAAGCACCACAACATTCACGGTTCCAACTATAAGAAGGAATCTTTGTTAAAGGATGCAATTACGTACCTGGAGGATTCACTGAGGCAATTAAGTTTGGAAGCTCTGTGGAATATAAAGAGGTCTTCTTTCAACTTTTGTTCTGTAACCGTTAGATCTTTTTTTCTGAGAAGCAGATGTAATTCCGTTTAATTGGCCCTATTCTCGGAGGTTGAGTTAATGGCACTAGCTGGGGGAATCTGAATTCTAATATTAGATCTTCCACTTAGTAAATCACACCACCACTTTAGGCTTTAGTTCTTTTTGAAGTGAGGGAATGGAACTGGATGACGATCCTGAGAGTATTATTGCCCACCACAAATCTGGCTCTGGTCTGTTTTATAATAGAAAACAAATCTTTAAAAATTTATTAAAAAAATAGTACTTTGGTCTAAACACAGAGCTATAGAAACAATCTTGGTTTTCAGGAAATTCCATCTGCCACTTAATGACTGGGAATTTAAATGTTGCATAAACTTCCTGAGAACTAGTTTCCTAATCTGTAATAAGAACTTGCTCCTTTTGATAATTAATGATGCAGTAATAGGTGAAAGATCTTAAACATTGTTTACAACAACACAAGACTTCTAGAAACCTAAGCTGTTTTTAATTCCACCTGCTTAAGCCTCCACTGTCTATTGGCACATGGTGCCTTTTAATTCTATACCACAAAACTCTGATCAATCTCCTTTACCCCTATTTTTATTTTCACATAAATCAGTAGTCAAGGAATACAAATTCCAGTGATAAATGCCACCGGCCTATAGTACTGTTAACGATATTTCTTTATCCAGCTACATTCAGCTATGTGAGGTCAGGCAAAGAGTTGGTTTTAAACCAGAATGGGGGAAGCCAAGCAAATAACATGGAGAGGGGGCAAGTGTATTAAAGATGCATTCAAGAGGGTAGTTATGTAATTGGCCATCAAAAGTAAGCGAGTTCAGAAAGGATGTGGTGGGGGAAGGGGAGGCTGAGGAATGGTAAACAATGATCAGTGAATGGTAGATCCCAGGATTGAAGGATTGTTGGAATCAATGTACCAGTGGGAGTGAATGGAAAGCTAGATTATGGTCAGAAGTAGAAATGCTTAACAAGGAGGATTATGCAGTGCTTGAGTTGTTAATGTTTAAGATGTGTCCCCTAGAGTGAGTGACTGAAGTACTGTAATGGAAAATATCACTAGAGTAGAAGAATTCAAGGGACTGACAGGCCTGAGTGTTAGAATGAATATCTGAGTGGATTTTGAAATAATGAAGATAGGAGTAGTGTAAATAAGAGCAATAGTGAGTCAATAGGCAATGGGGAGAGTGATTGCAACAGAGAGAGTAGTTGATTTCAACAAGAAAGGGTGGAGTGTGGTAGTCTCATAACATGAATTCAAAGCTGGGTAACAGGTTTAGGCAGGAGGGAAGGCAACGAGTTTGCAAGTGGCAATGAGTATCAGGAGGGACATAGACTCCATCTCCAGGCCCACTAGATGAGTGATGTGAGGGGAAAAAATCTACCACTGTAGAGGCCTACAAGGGAAACAGGGTCCTCATGGAACACTCAAGTTTTAGTTAGAGCAAGGAGATGAAGGGTCCATCCAGAGAAGAGAGTGAAGCTGTATGTGAATATGCTGAAAGACAAAAAGTTCCAGGGATACAGAGGAAAGATATCTCCATCTCTTTCTGCTAATGTTAAATTCTTCCTTCTCAGTAATCTGATTCTTCGCCAGCCATTTGATGATTCCAGTGTACCTGCCAAGAATCTTCTGTTTGGCGTCATCTTTATTTCTGCTTTGATGTGTCTCATCTTCCACCATGGCCCTACTGTTGAATACTTAGGATCAGAGCATGTATGTAGGGGATATTTCACCTCTCTGCTTCTCATCTCCAGCTTTGTACTTTTAAACCTCTTGGACCATGTACTCAATGTTTTCCATGCTCAAACACCATGACATTGGACTTTTAATCTTCTCTTTTCTTGATCTCTTCTTATCTAGAGCAAATACATTTGAAATACTGTTATCATCAATATCAAATGTTACTTCAGTTTGTACAAATCTAAAGGATACAGGAAGGATATCTGTGAGTTCAAACTTGCCAAACTGGTTGTGATCTTTCATCATTGCTCACTCAATTTCATAGAGTAGATAGTGAAGTTCTAAATTCACTTGGAATGAACTGTGTGTTGCACTTAACCAGAATAGTCACGACTTCACCAGTGGTTTCAATACCAAAGTAGTGATTTCAGTATTACTAGGAAAAGGGATGATATCAGAGAGCAGTGAATCCTGAATATTTTCAGATTTATCTCCAGACAAGGGACAAGATGGCTGCCTACATAGCTACAAACATAAGTAACACCCTTATCAGGATTGATGCTTTTTTCCAATTTTTTCTGTTGGAAAAAAAAAAAAATCCTGTAGGAATTTCTAAGTTTCTGAAGCTTGGAAATGCAGCTAAAACCACCCACCAGGATGACCTCACAGGCCTGAGACTTCTCTAGCAAGATGTGAAGAAAGGGTTAAAAAACCTTTTCTTCTCTATGGACAAATTAAGTTAACTTTCTAGCTCAGTTACTGTGGTAACTTGGTAAAGGTGGCATGTCAGCCTTGTGTCTAGGCAACATTACTTCTGGTGTAAATAATACTTAATTGATAAACTGTATCTGAACTGGTAGGCCTGGAAATAAACTGTAAGTATCTGGTGGGATACTTTGGGCTTCCCTAAGTGTAGCAAGTTCTTGCAACTGCTCATGTCCCTTGTTGGGGTGCTGGTTGCCGTGTCCAAAGGATTGTTACTAGAGGCAATGGCTCCTGTGGAACACGAGGCTTCTAAGCACAGTTGGCACCCATCCTCACCTATGTGGTCTCATTTCTTAGAACCTGCGCTGTCAACAAAGGGCCACAGGGGCCACAGAGTAGATGCCAGAATCCTGCATGGATTCCTGGAATGCTTCCATTATAGAAGCTCATCTGATGCTGCCCTGCTGGAATACTGTATTTCCTGACTTCATATGCTTCCAAGTGAACCAATGCAGAGGGTAGCCTGTTAGGGTTTTGTGAGATTGATTGTCTAATCAAAGTCTTCTCCAACCAAGTGAGTTTCCCTAACTGCACACTTAAATGCCAAGATTCCATCTTTGTTAATTAAGGTTTGACAAATCAAAGGTGCCACCTCTTTGGTTATAGATCAACGTATTTCTTTAAGCACCATGTTTCTTGTCTACGTCCTAAACAATAATTATGGCTATTGGCTTATTGATGATTCTTATGGTATTGATACCCTCAGTGGTTTCTAGACTACATGGCAGCCTGATGCTTAAGAGTGGTTAAATTTAGCCATTACTCTGTTCAGTGTTGGTGATGATCTTCCCAAGGTGGGCTTCTGCATTTGGGCGGGGGGGACGGGTGGTCTTTGTTAGAACCATGGTAGATAGGGAGCCTGGGTGGCTCAGATGGTTAAGCGTCTGCCTTCGGCTCAGGTCATGATCCCAGGGTCCTGGGATCGAGTCCCACATCGGGCTCCCTGCTCCTTGGGAGCCTGCTTCTCCCTCTGCCTCTCTCTCTCTCTCTCTCTGTCTCCCATGAATAAATAAATAAAATCTTTTTAAAAAAAAAGAACCATGGTAG